ATTGAGAATCCTAAGCCTCAAATTTTTACCTAACTGCACTGTTACACATATAAAACAATTGCAGATGTCCTCACATAATACACTGAGTGATCAGATTATTATGATCTCTGAATGCATAATAATCTGGCCACTCAATATATATATATATTTAAAGATCATGCTGTTCTCAGGCCTGGTGCATGAATTCGTGCATGGGTGGGGTCTGGCCAACCTGGCCAAGGGGAGGGGACAAGGATGGTTGTTCTGCCTGCCTGCTGTTAGAATTCCTGTTCGAGGGGACAATTTGCATATTAGCCTTTTATTATATTGGATATACACTGAGTGACCAGATTATTATGCATTCAGAAATCATAATAATCTGGACAGTCAGTGTATAGACTGAGAAATAAGACGAATCATATTTATTTTTATGTGATTGAAATGATAGAACCAATAAAAATTTATGCATTAAAAAGAAAAAAAATTAGTCAATTGCTAAGGTTCAGTAGTATATTGCTTAGTTTTTTATGCTGGCCATTACTAGAGAGTGTGTAATATTGTCAGCTTATTTTGTGAAATATTTGTTCATGTAAATACCCATATTTTTCTTTGTGATGAAAACTTACTATGTTGACTGAACTCATTAATAACATAAATGTTTATATTTAAACTCACAGCCTAAACTTCTTTGCACTCCCTATGACTACTTTCCTTCATTTGAATACCTGCATTTGTTACAAGCACTTTTTCTTTGTAATATTATATCAAATAAAAAAGGATGATGAATGTTTCTTAAATATGTAACAAAATATATATATAATTAATTATATATTTAATATTGCTGTGTTTGCCGATTACTCTTATATTTGTAATTAAATCATCAGGAGAAAAAAATGCCCAATAGAAATGACATCATTTTATAAGTAGTGAAGGAGATGAATGAAGGGATCTGTCTGAGAAGCCTATGTCCTGTGATCCCAGGGTTGAGAAAGCAGATTTAGCTCTAAGGGAATTTTCTTTTCCTCCCACATCACTCTGCATGTGTGCTTAGAAGACAACCTTATTAGGGGAAGACAGGTCTTTAGTCAAATGCATATAAGTGCTAAAGAATTTTATACACAATGTATACTGAAAATAATGAAACGAAATATCACTGCAGTCTGCTATTATGTCTACTTTCATTCCATCCAATGTGACATTCACATTAAGTTTGCTGCCTAAAATGTCTTTTCAAGAGTAACTGGAGAACCCTAAATGAGCATTCTTATAGGCTTGCTAGGGTAGAATGGTCTTTGTTGCATGAATGCCAGGTGGCTAATAGCTGTTTGTAATGATGGACACAAGGTTAGTTCACAGTGACTGATTTGGCAAGGAAACATAACCCATTATGCATTTTTATGGATGATCTGGATGGAGGAATTGAGTTATGCTTTTAAAGTATCTTATAATAGTAAATTAGACAGAGTTACTGATATTCAGAAGGCAGGCCTAAAAGGGAAAGTGACCTTGAAAATAAAACTATCAAAAACAAAAGGTCCTAAAGAAAAAGCATGAAATCAAATAAGAATAACCAGAGAACAATCCCTTGGAAGATTGGGAAAAACTGGATGAGTACTGGGTATCTTTTGACTAAAAAATAGCAATATAATTTTATTCTGGGAAAAAAGAAGGTTTGGGAAATAATAGTGCCTTGTGTAAGAATATAATACAAAAACCGGTTTGGCTCAGTGGATAGAGCGTCAGCCTGCGGACTGAAAGGCCCCAGGTTTGATTCTGGTCAAGGGCACGTACCTTGGTTGCGGGCACATCCCCAGTAGGGTGTGTGCAAGAGGCAGCTGATCAATATATCTCTCTCATCGATGTTTCTAACTCTCTATCCCTCTCTCTTCCTCTCTGTAAAAAATCAATAAAATATATTTAAAAAAAGAAAAGAATCAGAGATGTTCCATAGCCTCAAACCTATGGGAGAGGTAACACTATTAAAAAGAATAAGACAGACATGGAGATGGGGAGAACTTGTTTCAGGAGGAGGAGATGAGTCAGATTTTAGACATTTTTAATTAGAGATGACATCAGCACAAAATCTTTATTTGGAAGGCAGTGCTGTGGAACAGATGGCCTGAAGGGAGGTCTGTGCCCTATGCACAGCAGTGATCATTGACTGGGAAGAATAGCCGTAAAGAACATTATTGGGATCATGAATTATATTTGAATATAGACTGCGGATGACATAATTATACTGCATCAACCTTCCTGAGGTTGAACACTTTACTCTAGCTATAAAATCCTGTTCTTAGGAAGAGCATGGATTATTTAGAGGTAAAGTACCACGAGGTCTCCAGCCTAATGGTAAACAATTGGTGACTCTGAGTCAAGATTATATGGGAGCTCCTTGTGCTGTTGTTGCAACTTTCCTGTAAATTCGAAATTAGATAAAAATATCTTTCCAAAAAAAGTGATGGCCTGCCTTCTCCTGACTGCCAGCACCGGCTTCCCTCTGGCACCCGGGACCCAGACTTCCCTTGCAGCCCCAGCTTCGTCCGGGAAGGTTGTCCAGAAGGACGTCTGGTCTAGTTAGCATATTATGCTTATATTATTATAGATACTTCTTGGTGTTCAAGTCAAAGAGACTCTGCCTGATTAAAGTCTAGATAGGAAAAATAAATAAATAAATAAATAAATAAATAAAGTCTAGATAGGGATGGATACATTAGGAAACTCTTTCTGCTATCCTTTTCCCTTATTTTCTTCTTCCTACATTCTCCAGACAGACTCTTCCTTATATTCCTGTTCTTTTTTCCAGCTCTTGTTGAAGTCTTATAGGCAAAGGATATTTTTCTTCACATTTAAAGAACTCTATGAGCTGATTCTTCCAGGTTTGATCATTGATATTCTGAAGTCTGTAAGTCTGTGAGTTAAATTACAAGGTGTGTGTGTGTGTGTGTGTGTGTGTGTGTGTGTGTGTGTGTGTGTATCTGTGTACTCATGATCCAGTGAAGTTAACACAGAAAATTAGCCATCACATCCATTAATAGTCACTCCTCATCCTTCTTCATCTCCTGAAAAACTACTTTTTTTCTCTGTGAACTTGCCTATTTTGTACATTTTATATAAGAAATCATACACTGTGTGGTACTTTGATTTAGCTTTTTACCACTTGGCATAATGTTTTATATGTTATAACACCTATAAAATATTCCTTGTATTGCCAAGTAATATTTCATTGTGTAAACAGACCACATTTTGTTTATTCATCCATTAGTTGATATTGTAAATAGTTGAGATCCATTTCTAATTGCACTTCCTAAATCCAGTCCTTTCCACCTTCAATCTTTAGTAGCTTCTGTTACCAGAATCCTTTTCCTAAAACATCACATTTAATCTTGTCATTCACATTATCAAAATGAATCATAGTCTTTGTATAAGAGGTGCTAAAGGAACACATTGACCTTTCATTTGACACTCTCTTCAGTTTGATGGCAGCTGGGATAGGAATAGCAGATCCTGCCTCCCACTGAGAAGGCAGTTTTGGACAGTGATGCCTAAAATCTGTTTTAAAAGTCCTCTACCTGATCAAAAGCAACTAAACAAATGAGCCCCAAAGAAAAGACCCCAACAACAAAAAGCAAAAGCCCAAACTATGTAGAAAGGATCATGGATAAAATGTAGGTTTAGGATTTTATTGTTTATATATTTTTTCATCTCATAATTATTAAGAATTTCATGAGAATCCTGGAGGGATAATGGATCTTATAGTTAAGTTGGTTAGTTTGAAGTCCTGGCTGAGTCACTTAATACTGGCATTCTTTAAATTCCCCCCTTATGAGATTTTAAGCAAATTATCTTTTCTTATATGTAAAATGAGAGTAGTAGTTTGTATTTTAGAGCTCTGTTATGAATTAAAAGATATAAACACTCAACTACTATGCCCATGGCACTCAGTAAATAAATAGACACTATAATGATTGTTATGGTTGAACATTTGGTTAAAGTTTTAAATTGTTTTAAATAAAGCTAATCTAAGATTTGAACTATGTTTAGATGTTCTTTCATTGTTTTATAGATTTTGATGATTTAATTTCATTATTGTTCTAGTACTTTAAAATTTGTACCAATTAAAGGGAGAAATTGTATAATCAGTTCAAGGGCTTTATATTCGTTATCTGTCATTACCCTTGATTTAATCTAAAATAATCATTATTTCCTTGGGAAATAGTCAATAATAGTGTCTTATTTTATTACTAGAGGCTCAGTGCACAAGGGGTTCAGCTGGCCCACTCTGATGGGGGCCCATTGGGCCGGGACAGTGCACAGGTGGTTGGCCTGCTGGCCCTGCCCCCAACTGGGATGTTGGGGGTCAATTGGGGGACAGGCCTGATGGGAGTGGGGCCGATCAGGGCCTGGATCAGGCTGGTTGGCTGCCTCAGTGCATGTCATAGCCACCGGTTGTTCTGGTCATTCTGGTGACTGGAGATATATATCTTAGAAGCTTTTATGAAGTGCTGTAAGGGTAAATACCTTACATACTATATTGGATTACGTATGTAAATTTCTCAATAGGAATGAATCTTTGAACTTGGCATTTTCTGGCAAGTGTGACTTGATAGCAGTTATTAAAGATATAGCCCAATTATTCTTTGGAATAATTATAACACATTAATTTTAAAAAGATGTTGAATGGTAGATAAATTGTAATTGCTTGGGGCTTACGTAGATGATAATAAAATTGTATCTATCTAAATTTATGGGCTAGAACAATTTTAAATGTATAACAATTTATTTTTATTTTTATAAAACAATCATGAACTAGTTTCTTCTTTCAGAATTATAAGTACTTATAAATGCAATAGCCTTTTTTCTCATTAAGGTATTCGTAATTTGAGAGGTTAAATTAATCAATTGTTTGAAAATTAACCTTTGATCATAGTAAGACTAACATACTAAAGATCAGCTTTTAAACATCACTCCTTTTTACATATTTCAGTTATTCAGTATCACTTCTTCCCCCCCTCCCCCCATAGGATTACCCTTGTCAAGATGATTACTCAATAGTCCACAGAAAATGCTGTTCTCAGTTCACAGATCTAAATGGTTCCAAAAGATATGGCATCAACACTTGGCATGACGAGAGTGGGATTTACGCTAATGCAGATGTCAAACGAAAGCTCTACCCATCAACCGGTGGTCCTATACTCCCATTTTCATAATAATTTATGAAATCAGATTCTCTAACTAATGAAAGAATAATTGACTTAGCTGTTGATTTTTTTATCCCAATAAATGCGATGAAAATAATACTTTAGTAGTTTTTCTTTAAAATCAAAATCTTATATTCTAGACCAGTGTATATAATCTTCTTTTCATAAACTACTCTGGCATTTTTCACAGTTTAATACGCATACCACTGAAGGTATACAACACAATTCTAGATAGCTGATGGAATTTTATTTACTTATGAACTATATTTATTTGAATTTTATTAGAAAAAAAATACATAAACCTAGGACAATCATGCTTATGATTAGGGTGTGGCTAATTTTTAAAAAGTGAGCTATCAAATTCCACTGTTAAGTGAATGAAAATAAAGGTGACATTCAAATTTGACATGAAACTCCAATGGTGGAAATTTGGATAACACTAGCACTATAATAATGCTGAGTGTGTGTGTGTGTGTGTGTGTGTGTGTGTGTGTGTGTGTGTGTTGAAGTGTCTGTGGACTTTGATTTTTTATGATGGCTAGCTTCACTATGGATGGTTTATTCAACACAGTATTTTTCCTTATTCAAAATAACACCATTTTAGTGTATGGAATAGCGGAGATGTAGACAGAATCTTGGTGAAACTTTAGGGGTTTGATAGGAAAGTCCAATCATAGAGTTATATTTAGAAGAAATTCTAGAAGTTGTTTTGACTCACCTTCTAATTTTATAGGTGAGCAAACAGAGACCAACAGACCAACATTTAAGTAATTTGCCTAGGGTTACATAAATAAATTCTAGTTGATCTTTGAGGTGCATTTGAACTCTAATTTCTTCTGTAGATGGGTTTAATTATTTGGTTAGCTGAGGCTAAATTTATTCTTATTATGTCTTTTAAAAATAAATCCATTTCATAATAAGTGCACTTTAGCACTGCCTCCAACTCTTGATTAGCAAATATGAGAAAACCTATAAGCCTTGTGAATGGAGAAATGATAATTAATAAAGAAAATGCAACCCTGTCTGGTGTTTCTAAGTGGTTAGAGCCTCAGCCTCCCTGCACTGAGGGGTCTCAGGTTGATCCCAGCCAAGGACATGTACATGGGTTGAAGTTCCATCCCAGCCCTGGTTAGGGTGCATGTGGGAAGCAACCAATTGATGTGTCTCTCCCACATCAATGTTTCTCTCTCTCTCTCTCTCTCTCTCTCTCTCTCTCTCTCTCTCTCTCTCTCTCTCTCTCTCTCTCTCTCTCTCTCTCTCTCTCTCTCTTTCTCCAGCCTCCACTTCTCTCCTTTCCCTTCCACTCTTTCTAAAAAGCAATGGAAAAAATATCCTCTGGTGGAGGATTAACAAAAATGCAGATATGCCAGGCCAATATTTACCAGCAAAGTTTTACTAGAATTTCTTGCTACTTTAAACTGTGTCTGTATATAGGGTGTGCCAACAAAATGTATATACACACTTTGAATAATTATAAAGGCCGTGTTTATTAAAACATATTTCCATTTTCAAAATTGAGCTATTAGCTGTTAAACTATCTATACATTTTTGGGGGACACCCTGTGTATATAAATATGTGTATTATGTGTGTGTGAATATTTTCTGTGTATATAAATATGTGTATTATATATGTACTGCTGGCATCACCCCAATCTCTGTCTTCATCTTGACATGGCATTCTCTCTGTGTGCATATGTGTCCAAATTTTCCTTCTTATAAGGACAATAGTCATATTGGAGTAGGGTTCTATACTAGTTTAATATTATCTCATTTTAACCTCAGTGTCCAACAACAGATGAATGAGTACAGAAAATATGACATATACTACACAATGAAATATTATTCAGCCATAAAAAAGAAAAACGGAAATCCTGCCATTTTTAGAAACATAAATGGCCCTTGAGGGCATTATACTAAGTGAAATACATCAGACAAAGAAAGATAAATACTGTATAATCCTACTACCATAGTATGTAGAATTAAATAACAAACAAGCAAATAAACAAACAGAACTCATGGATTCAGAAAATAGACTGGTGGTTGTCAGAGGGGGTGTGGATGAAATGAATGAATGTAGCCAAAAGGTATAAACTTCCTATTATTTCTGAATAGGGTCAGATTGTAAGGTACCAGGGGTTAGAATTTCAACATATGAGATTGGGGGAGAGGGCGATTCAGTTCAAACCAGAACACTTCTCAAGAGAGTAGTCCTCATTCTTTCAAAGTGTGTAAACTTTCCTGCACAAGGGAATGAAGGCTATAGTCTACAAGCTTTTTCCTCTCTCGTGATCAAACCAAAATACTGTTGTTAACTACAACTTTTCAGCCAAGAATATACAACGGGGAAAGGATAGTCTCTTTAAAAAATGTGTTGGGGAAAACTGGAAAGCACCCATATTAAAAAAAAATAAAAAAAAAAAAAAGAAAAAAAGAAAGAAAAAAAAAAAAAAAAAAAAAAAAAGAAAGAAAGAAAGAAAGAAAGAAAGAAAGAAAGAAAGAAACTGGAACCAACTAAAATGGATTAAAGCCTTGAATGTAAGACCTGATGTCCTAAAACCCCTACAAGAAAACATCGGGGCAAGCTCCTTTCCATTGATAGTAACGATGATTTTTTGCTTTGACACCAAAATCAAAGGCAACAAAGGCAAAACGAAACAAATGGGGCTACATAAAAAATGTTCTGTACATCAAAGGAAACCCGCAACAAAATGAAAAAGGCAACCTGCAGAATGGGTGAAAGTATTGATATTTGCAAATGATATATCTTGTAGAGTTACTATTTAAAACATATGAAGACTGTATAAAACTGAATAAAAATTTTTGTTTAAAAAATGGGCAGAAAAACTAAAAAGACATTTCCCCAAACACTACATGCCAGTGACCAACAGGTGCATGAAAAGATATTCCACATAATTCATCATCAAGAAAATGCAAATGAAAACCACAACAGGAGATGACTTCACACCTGTTAAAATGGCTATCATCAAAAAGACAATAGATAACAAGTGTTGGTGGGAATGTGGAGAAAAAGGAACCTTTATGCTATATTGGTGGGAAGGAAAATTGGTGCAGTCACTATGGGGAATATTATGGAGGCTCTTCCAAAACTTAAAAATAGAACCATCCTATGGTCCAGCAATTACTCTTCTGGGTATTTATCAAAAGGAAATAAAATTGCCATCTTGAAAAGATATATGCTCCCCCCGCCATGTTCATTGCAGCATTGTTTACAATAGCCAAGACATGGAATCAACCTAAGTGTCCAACAATAGATGAATGAATACAGAAAATATGAGATTTACTACACAATTGAATATTATTTGGCCATAAAAAGAAAAACAGGGAAATACTGCCGTTTTTAGAAACATAAATGGCCCTGGAAGGCATTATGCTAAGTGAAATAAATCAGGCAGAGAAAGATAAATACTGTACAATCCTACTAGTATGTAGAATTAAATAACAAACAAGCAAATAAACAAACAGAACTCATGGATTCAGAAAACAGACTGGTGGTTGTCAGAGGGGGTGTGGATGAAATGAATGAATGTAGCCAAAAGGTATAAACTTCCAGTTATAAAACAAATAAGTGCTTAGGAAGTAAAGTACAGCATGGTGAGTATAGCTAACAAAACACTATTATAAATTTGAAAGTTGCTAAAAGTGTAAATCTTAAAGTTCTCATCACAAGAAAAAAGTATAATTATGGTGATGAAGGTTAACTAAAATTATTGAGACAATCATTTATCAATATACACATATACAAAATCATGTTGTACAACTAAAACTAGTATAATTTTATATGTCAGTTATATCCCACTAAAAAAGAAAAAGACTTTTTTTCTTTACTATAAATAAAAAGTCCCCTCTTAAAAAAAACAATTACCATCCAACCAGTATAGCTCAGTGGTTGAGCATCAACCCATGAACCAGGAGGTCATGGTTTGATTCCTGGTCAGGGCACATGCCTGGTTGTGGGCCAGATCCCCAGGGGGGAGCATGAAGGAGGCAGCTAATTGTTGATTCTCTCTCATCATTGATGTTTCTGTCTCTTCCTCTCCCTTCCTCTCTGAAATCAATAAAAACATATAAAGCAATTACCTAGCTGTTGTGATACTTTTCTAGAATACATGTTTTAAAATTTGAACTCAGATACTAATAAGCTGAATAAACATTTGTAAAAATCCTACCACTTGTGATGGACTTGATAGAAAAGGATTAAAATATATTTATTACTAGGAAAACTCTGGTCTTTTGGAAACTTAATGGTGGTCTCTATGATACAATTTCTATTGTTTTATAGAAGACTCAGAAATGAGGATTCAGTATCCAAATACTGTTTTTTTTCTAGATCAGGCAAACATTTCTATGGAATAAATTATACTGTTTAATGCTTAAAATCTGGCTCCCTCTACTGGAAGATACAAAGGAATGAGCTCCCTTCTTTTAGCCCGAAGTCCAAGAAGCATACACAGGATAGAAGTTCACAACTCATGTTTTCCTATGTTTTTGAATTTATGGAAATTGCCTCACTGACCAATGAGGAAAAACTTGTAAATATCACTATTTGTAAATCAACCACCAACTGCCCCCCACTCCCTGTTAACTGAAGGGAGCGTGCCTCGTCTCCCCTGTTGCTGCTGGGGCTGGGGTTCTTGAGGTATTGCTGTAATAAGCACCCAGAGGTCCCCAGGGGAGGATGAGATATACTACAATAGTAGAACGGCTTAGTTCTGTGGTACAATTCCCCTGGGTTTCCAGTCCCATTTTCCTTAGTCCAGTCATAGAAGAAATGTAACTGGGGCTTCAGCAGAGCTAAAATCAGAGTCAGTGTCCAGAGTTTCCTTTCCATGTTGAAGCCAGGTCCAGTCCAGTTTCGGGCTAGCTTAGCTTGTGTTGCTCACTGCAGTCCCTCAGTCCATTGTATGTGGGGTCCACATGGCTGTGGGCCATATGACAAATACAAGTACCCAAGAGAGCACACTTCCCTAACAACAAGTGTCCCAAGAGCCCAAGAGAGCACAAGAGCTGGAGCTTCTTTGTTTGAGGGATTATGTATTCCAAATCTTCATGAGCTTGCAGTGGCCTCACCCATTCTGGCTAGCCATCTCTATCCC